GAAAACTATCGAATTTTCAAACTAGAATTTTTAAATTAATATTTTTAGGAGACTATTGCAACTATAAGATTAGATTTTTTAAAGAATATTTTTAGGATAATACCAAAGCTATAATCCTATATAGTGATTTTAAGAATATTTTTATGTGGATATTTTAAAGAATATTTTTAGGAGCGTGAATTTTTTAAGGAATGTTTTTAGGAGACGGTCGAAGTTATAAACGGTGTATTTTTAATGAATATTTCTAGGAGACTATGGAAGCTATAAACGTGAATTTTTAAAGAGTTTTTGTTGGAGATTAGCAAAACTATAAGCGTTCATTTTTAAAGAATATTTTTAGGAGACTATCGGATCTACAAATGTGTATATTTTTTAAATAATATTTTTAGAAGACTATCGAAGCTGTAAGCGTGTATTTTTTAAAGAATGATTTAAGGAGACTACCGAAGCTGTAAGAGATTATTTAAAGAATTTTTTAAGGACACTATTGCAGCTATTAGAGTAGATTTTTTAAAGAATATTTTTAAGAGACTATCGAAGCCATGAGCGTGGATTTTTTAAAGAATATTTTTAAGAGACTATCGATGCTAAAAGCGTTTATTTTTTTAAAGAAAATTTTTAGGAGACCATAGGCGCTAGAAGCTTTTATTTTTAAAAATATTTTTAGGAGACCTTAGGCGGTAGAAGCGTAGATTTTTAAAAAATATTTTTGGGAGAATATAGAAGCTAAAAGCTTCGATATTTTAAAGAATATTTTAGGAGACTGTCGCATTTATAATTCGAGTATTTTTAATGAATATTTCATAGGTATAAGCGTGGATTTTAAAGAATGTTTTTTAGGAGGCTATCGAAGCTATAAGCGTGAATTTTAAATAATGCTTTTTTAGGAGAAGCAGTAACCTTGAATTTTTAAAGGAATATTTTTAGGAGGCTATCGAAGCTAGCAAACTTGTAATTTTTAAGGAAGGGGGGATATCGAAGATATAAAAGTGGATTTTGTGAAGAATATTCTTAGCCGACTATCGAAGCAATAGCGTGTGGATTTCATAAAAGAATATATTTCGGAGATTATTGAACCTATAGGCGTGATTTGTTTAAAGACTATTTTTAGGAGACTATCGAAGCTAAAAGTGTAGATTTTTAAATAATATTTATAGAGGACTATAGAAGACTATCGAAGCTGTATTTGAGGAGACTACCGAAACTGTAAGCTTGGATTTTTTAAAGAATGTTTTGAGGAGAGTTTTATAGCTATAACAGTAGATTTTTTAAATAATATGTTTAGGTACTATTGAGGTCATAAGTATGAATATTTTATTTTTTATATAGTGATTTTAATGAATATTTTATCAATAAATTGTATGGATAGAAGCATGGATTTTTAAAAGTTTAGGAAGGTATTTAGATTTAAAGATACGCTGTAATCGTCGATTAAAAAAATATTTTGTAAACATAAATTTTTTATTGAACATTTTAGGGAGACTATCAGACGTGAAATGAAATTTTTAATAATATTTTATGTGGTTTTTTTAAATAATATTTTTGAAAAAATATTTCGAATAATATTATCGTAATATCAAACCAAACATACAAGTACTTCAATACACGTGTTACTTCAGAGCATTATTGCATTTCATTTCGGTTTTTTTGTTCAATACCCTTCTTGTTTTAATAATAAAAATAATTCTAAACCTTATCGAAAACAACACTTCACTAAATTTGTATTTTATTGAGTACCAAGCATACACCAACCACAACAACAACACTACCGAACAAAAAAGAAAAAAATAAATAAATAATCGAAATCCCATCAAAAACCACAACAAAAACGTCCAATTCTTATTGATGAATTTATAACGTCAACTGATCGTTATTTTCAGATACTGTACCTCTTCTTCTACCACCAATTTTTTGCTTCATTGCCGGTAATTGTTGTTGTTGTGGGTAACAAAAAACTGGGTACTTTTTTTTGGTTTCATAGGTGAGGAAATTGAAAAGGGTGGTGGGAAAAGGGGTAGTACAATGCTTCGACTCAAGTACTGTGAACTGCTGATAACGTTGGCCCACAAAATTCATGTCGATGAATCGATGAATATGAAGTCATATTTTTATTGTTCCATTTGTTGTTGTTGTTGTTGTTGTTGTGGTTTTGGGGTGTAGGGCCATATTTGCTGTTGTTGTTGGCTTTCGAGGACGGTTCTCGGTACATATCAGTGAAATCAAAAGTGAGTTGACTGGTGGTGTATGAATGTCTTTTATTAGTAGTTTTATTGCTTTATATTTTTTTCGACAAAGACTAAAAATAAAAACAAATTTATTGAAGCACCTGTACCAAAGTCAAGTCTCTAGTTTCGGGTGTATTCAACAGAAATTTCAGCAATATTTTTTGAAGAGTTTTAAATTTGATTTTTCGAAATTGATAACAGTCACTTGACGTTTGTTGTCACTTGACCAATAACTCTTATACGGGGTGATATGATTGAAGAGATGGTGTCTAAAATTGGGAACAAAGTCGAAATATGGAGTGTACAACACTTGAAAACTAGGAACAAATATGGAACGAATCTGTACTACTTCACAGTCTATTAAAAATTTTGTAATTGTAACCCTATTGGACCACATGACAACTAAGCGTTGAAAAAAACAACCCAACCGTTGCTGCTTCATTATATTTATGTATGTAGTTAAAAGTATTTACTCTACCGTTTATGTACATAAATGTATATATATGGAACAGCCCATGTACACCCTTGTTTAGAGTCTACAATATGAAATTGTTTACTAATTCCACATTATTTATTGAAGTCATCATAAAATCTACAACTAAACACCAACCAACCACCCAATGAGAAGAGTAGAGAACAGGGCGAAAATAGAACGACTCGTATGAATGCCATGTCATCAAGACGACTTTGTTTTATGATGCCAATTAAATGTTATTGCACAATGGGCAAATAGTTTGTAATTACCCACGTACTGCCGTCACGCGGACTATTTACAAAATGATGCAAACTTTTTTCAATGTGTCATGTTAAGTGTGAAACAAACCATTCACGATCATAAAAATTCGGTCAGTAAAGGACTATGTAAGTAGGGCATTTAACTATATTTATATATGACTACCATGGACATATCAATAATCTTTTAATTTTTTTTTTTTTTGAATAATATTTTTCATGGACCATTAGAGCTGTAAGCGTGAATTTTTTAATTTATATTTTTAATAAACAAGCAAAACATTAAACGTGAATTAAAATTAAAATCCATTTACCAGCTATGATAAAAGCGTGAATTTTTAAGAATATTTATCGAAGTCCTATAAGTGTTATAAGCGTAGATTTTTAAAGAATCGGTATTCCGTTCCAATATATGAATTTTTTATAGTCCGAGATTTTTCTATCGAAATGGCAATAATTTGGCATTCTGAGTTGTAAATGTGTAAAAAAAATCGAATAAAATTAACTGTAATTTTACATTCCCAATTCATGAAGGGTATAAAACTTCTGTATAGGAAATTGTCAATTCCCTTTGTCAACGTTCTGTCAATAGAAGACACCAGAGGGGTCAATGACAAATCCATACAATAGACCTATCTACCATACAATCTTTTTGAATCTACGAAAAACATATTTACAAAAAAATATATATAAACAAGTAAAAAAGTGTCCATCCGTATCGCCGATAGATATATAACCTTAGCATATGGTTTGCCGATCTTCGGAATTACACACAGGTTTTATTATTCGCCTCTCTCATAGAAGTCCTGCTCTCTATATGCAAAAAACTTTAGTAGTCAATTTTCACACTCCTCCCCAGATAACAATTTTTATCATTAAAGTAATTTAGCAATGCAAGAAAAATATGATAATTGCTTGGTTCCAAGTCTGGACTGTATGGCGGATGCAAAAAAAAACTTCCCAACCAAGCTCCCGAAGTTTCTGGCGAGTCACTGCAGATGTGTGTCCTGGCGGAACACGGCACCTCTCCTGTAGGCCAATACTGGCCGCTTCTGGTCAATTGCTATCTTCAAACAGACCAGTTGTTAACAGTAGAGATCAGAATTTAGCGTTTGGCCATCATCCCAGTCCCACCAAATGCATAGCAGAGTCTTCCTGGCCGTTAGTCCTGGTGGTTTGGCCATCTTTTGAGGTGCTTCATCGCTCTTTGACCACGATCGTTTTCGCACAGGGTTATCGTATGTGATGGGTCTATCTCATTCCGTTTGGGCAAGGCATCGTCATCCTATTTTTTTTATTTTATGGTGCCATTCAACTTCGACATTTCTCCAATTTTTTCGAAATTTTCTACGACTGGCCTAATGGATTTCTTTTTCCGAAACCTAATATAATTTAATTACATATCCACAAAACGTCTTCTGTTTAAGATGGACAAATTGAATACTGATAACCCTTACAGTATATTTTATTTAATAAAGGCTTCTATAGTATAGAAGGTCCCCTATGTTAATGCATTATAAATCGTTTTACATTTGAAGTAGTAGAGACAGCAGAGATGCTTCCAAAACGATATAAGATTTCAATGTTATTTACGAGCCATTGGTATTTGGCAATTAATTAATTATTATTTTTTAATTTTACAGAACATGACTCTTAAAGAAATTTTACTCGCCATCCCGACATGTGATCAACTAATGCTGAAACGTCAATGCACTATTTCCTGCCAGAGGGGACTCTAATTCATTTCAATTTGGAACAAAAAATTGTGTGTCTAACCGCAAAGGCTAAGGACGATGTGGTTGAATGCAGGTAATATAAATAAAGCCATCATTATTGTACAACTTATTTTTGTGAACATTTATTTACTATTTTCTTTTCTTTTCAGAGTGACATGGTCGCACAAACAAACAAAAAGACTAATTTGTTTTTTGGTTTTTCTGTTTAGAACCAAAAAATCGGAGCGAGCAACAACATATGCAACACACTGGTTTGGTACAGAGGAAAAATACACTCGAAGAAAAATTTTAGATGAAATTGAAAAGAAAAACTACTTAAATTGAAAACAGAATAAGAAAAAAATGTAACAAATTATAAAAAGGAATAAAAAATTAACATAAAATTGTTTAAAACAATATAATCTATTATGAATATAATTTATATTTCAATTACTGGAAAAATTAGGCTTGGTATATGCGACGAGAAACTTGCAACTTTGTTTATCATACCTCTTTATTAAGGAAATTTCACAATACATAGAATGAAAAATGAAAATCTATGTTAACATTTTTTTACCACAATTCTTACTTCATTTCCAACTAAATATCGTACTCGAAATATGAACAATCAGCTTCATCTTCAGCTGATCTAAATGTAGAATAATTTTTTCTTTAGAAATATAAATGTCTGTCCAATATATGACAACGAAAAACTTCCCACTGGAATAATTTAAATGTGCCTTCTTTTAGTTAAATTCATAAAATTATCTAACACATTTTTCGAGTGTAAAAGAACTGCGGATATGCACGTACGTACGTTCATGTGTGATTACGTAGTTGTCATATATAAACAAACACCAAGGTAAAATCCAAAAACAACAATTATATGAATTAAAACTGAACACGCATGCGCAATTTGTAGCACACCGATAGTTATCAGTAAAAATCCCTACCACATATATACAAACACAACACATATGTTCGTTGTTTGTGTGTGTGTGTGTTTGGTTGCAACAACAAATAGTCTAAGGAGAAAATAAAATAAAAAACCAAATTGGTTGTTTTGGCTGCAGTACTTAAATGCCGAGCAATTCCAATCATTGGCTTGCTTATCTTTTGAAAACAAAAATAAGCGATAAGATAACACCGATATACTAACACCTTTACAGATACCGAACACACTCACTCACCCACAAGCAGAAATGCACACACACACACACATACTAAAGTGGAGACCCACTTGCTTACTGCCTTTGCGGATCTCCCTCTTATCCTCGATTGTTGGTGTTACAAAATTCTACTTGGCAAAGGTGTACTTCTAGCCCGGTGTGGTATTCTACCATACGTTTGAGTGTGTGAGTGCGTTGTTATTGGTACTGGACAAATAAGTCATAATTCACACACATATGCCGATTCCAATTCCGGGGCTTTGAGTATGGTGTTGTTGTTGTTGCTGGTTCTGTTTCTTTTCCCGCTTTTTCCAATTGTTCAGGTTAACCGCAGATCTGAGGTACCCACTTCTGTGTTTTTTTTTTATTTATTGTTGTTATAATTTGTCGAATATATATATGGAGGAACCTCTCTGCTCACCCATACAGTGGTAAAAAACATATATGAAACTGAATATGAAATTGTAACTGTAGAACATCCAGTTAGGGCATGGTGTCGGCGGTGTCGCTATCAGTGTTAGTACCCATCACAAACCACAATTAACATCGTCACCGCTCAGTGGTTAATGAGATCCTCTTCGGTTCCGTGGTTTTTTGACATACCCAAAGAAAAAAAGAAACCAAATTCGTATAGGTGTCAAAAACAGAATAGCCTAATGTGTCGCGTTTTAGGAGAAAATTTGAAATTTATAAACTAAAAAGATTATTTATGAGAAAAAAATATATATTTTATTTTATGTGAATATAAAGAAAAATCTACAAAAAATACTCTTTGTGAAAAATCTGTAACAGTAGTGCAACCTGTCGTCCCAGTGAACATTTTATGCATATACATAAATCTATGGTTTGCAACAGCAGCAGTATTTTAAGTTCACCCGCAATGCAACTTAAGGTAAATTTTCAAGAAAATGGAAACAAAAAATGATTTGAAAAATATTAAAAACAACAACAACAATAAAAAATAAACAAAATGCGAAAAGTGAATTATCTTTTAGAGATTACATATCTTGCAAGAAGAAAATGATAAAAAAATAGTATTGGTTGATAAACAAAAACAAGAAAATGAAAACAATACAAAACTTTTACTTTCAAAAATACAAAAAACATTGTAAAAGAAATAAAATAAATCATTTTTTTTTTGGAAAATTAAAAAAATAATTAAAATTTATACAGTTTTTCGAAACATGGTCGTATAGCCGTCGCAAAAATACCATTCGATTTCAGCGAATTTGACTTCTAATATTTTAATATATAATTAAACCTAAAAAATGCGAAAAAAAGGATTTACGAATTAAAAGACTGTTTAAAAACAAATGCCGTTATCATTTTGAATAAAAATTGAAATTTTTTTCTATACTTTTTATTAAATAATCCCGCAACTAAATATTTTTTGGAACACTAACAAATCAGTTGGGTATTCATATTTTATATTCTGGATGCTAACGAGGGAGGGCCCATATTTACCAAAGAAAACCCACATCTTAATTTTAATAGGTTGAATACATATATAGGGGAGTTTTGAACATAATGACTTCGTCCATTAAAACAGTTAACATTTATAAAAAAAAATTCAAATGATATATAGTCTAGCCAGTTTTAGTCTCATTCTCCAATCCTATGTATAGAACCAACAAGCAACCCCATGTCATATAAACATAGGAAATATAAGTTACGAATTAAAAATAATAATTAGGTAAGTTTTTGGATCTCAGATTCGAACTCCAACAACGTTTGACGAGTCTGATACATGAACTGCAATATCAGATATGCGACATAAGTAATTATAAAAAAAAAAATCTAAAAATAATTAAAACAGAAATTAAATTAATGGACAATATTTAAGGATTGTATTGGCGCCTGTTTTAATTTGTGGATTTGTTTATACGTTGCCTCAACTTATATATTGTAACCACTTTTGTAACGTTTTTTGATACCAATGAATAGCGGGAAATGTTTAAGTCTCCTTCATATAGTCTGGTCAATGTCAAGGTACGTTTGCAGTTATATTGTGGCCAGTCGTATTCTCGTTACGACTGGCATCTGGCAAATGGCCCAATTCCGGCTAGCCGTTTGCTTTTTCATGGACCTTTATGACCGAGGGTGTAAGTAAGAACAACTTTTACAGAACACCTATCTTTGGAAGTTCTTCTTACCTGGCGGTGAAAACTAAAGACCAACCATCCCAGTGAAGGCTGCCACATATGCCAAGAACCTTCTATATGAGTAGTTTTTTTCATAGTCAATAAAGAATATTTCTTTATTGTTTATGTTTATGTTTAAACAAAATACATCCACTGGAAATTATCTACAAAGAGGACTTTTTTCTTATAACTTTTTCTTTATTGTGGTTATATGAATAGTTTTTTTTTTCAAAGTCAATTTAAACTGAATTAAAACTGAATTTATTAAAACAAAAATTTTTAAATTTTCAAATTGAGGGCTAACGTTTTTACAAATGCTTGTTAAGGTTTGTAACTTTGCACATATATAATTGAAGATTTAAAAGAGAAGAAAAATAATTTACAAACAATTTTTGTTATTGTTTTGTTGTTGTAACCAAATTAAAAAAGTTTATTTTTGAAATGCATGAAAAAGACCTTTAATATACCGAAATACAATTTTCCCCGTTCCGGAAAAGTTACCTATTTTGAAAATTTTCTGCAAATAATTTTTCACCATTAACCTGAAATGTCACTTACAGTCACTTCGATTAGAAACTGCGGCTAAACTATCAAAAATGGGAGGAAATCTTGCAAAATGTCTGCGAATATATTTTTAACTCTCAAAATTACAACTACTTTTGTTGGAAAATTTGGCTAAGAATTTTAGCATAACGGATTATGTTTTGCCACTTTTATATAGGAACTATGTCAAGAAATGGACCTACATTGGAATTTTTTGGTGAAGAAGTTTTTACCTACCAAGAACCCGGAATACCAAATTACCACAACTTCAAGTAGAAAAGGCGCCTAGGAACATTAAAACCAAATTACATCCACTTCGGATGGAAAATATATGGGACTGTACCAAAACGTGAACCAACATATCACATGTTGAATATTTTGAAGTACTATGGAATGTTGATGGACATTAAAATACATGATAATGATGACATCCTTAATAAGGGTCGAACTGAATGTTAAATTTTGTTTAGATCTGACAACTCCTTCATATAGAAACAGGTGTTCAAAAAAGACGTATCCGCAATTTTTTTACAATAAACATAAATTAAAACTCGCCGATTGTAGTTAAAGCTAAAGTTCTTTATGTTTAGAAATATTCATATTCTTTCATTTTGATTAAAGTATGGTACATTTTTTTTATTTTTTCGGCTTTAGGTTAAATAAAATTCAAAAATATATTATGTCACAGGTTAATAATAACAACAAAAAACATTAAAAGGTGTTTGGAAAGAGGAAAGCAATATAATACTCCTTCCCGAGTTATCGCCAGCAAGTCAAACATTATCCTTATCTTTATTTTCTGCACTAGATATATGGATTCGGGTGCTCATAAGTTGTACTGAATAATGCAACCAATACAGTACAAAATCAACATTAATGAAACTTGGAGATGCCTCATCAAATGTTTTCTTTATGAATTCAAAATCTTAAATACTCCAAAAATTAAAAAAAGTACCAAAACAATAGTTTTTCTGATAATTTCCTAATTCCCATGTAATAACAGTTTCCTTATATCTTTAACTAAACGTTTCGTATTTTTTCGGACATTTCTTATTTTTTTATTAAAACCCTGTCAAAATATTTTGTAATTTTTTTCCCAGTAAACTAACAAAACCTGATGGTTAGTACCATTCGTCACTTCTGTATGATGGCCATTATGTCCGTCCGTCCATCCAACTATCCACCCATCCGTCTGTCCGACAGCTCTTATCAGCTATCAAAATAATTAAATTATCACTTCTATTTCGTTAAGATACTCCCGACTCTTCGTAACAACATAAGTTTGTTTTTCCCACATGCATGGCACTCCGGGTAATTTCAGTCGAAAAAAATATCAACTGAAAAAAATAGTAATTTAATTACAGTCTTAAATGAGTTAATAAGACTTTAGCACGTAATAAAACTCATAAATTATAAAACCCAAAAAAAAAAAACTAAATGACAAACAGACAAAATGAAGTCGAAAGACACAACACACCAAAA